AAGCAAGCAAACAACCTTGTATCCTGTTTATAAATACTTATAGCTGTAAGTAATAATGAACATTGCCTTGACTCAGGCTCCGGAGCAGAGTACTCAGTCACTTCTTCAACATAGCCAACTAAAATCTCTAGAAATTTTTCAAACTAATTGCTGGCTATCTATATACCCCCAACATTATACCATTGATTTTTTCTTTTCTTCCTTTTTTTTTTTTCCCCAGTGAGGCAGTCAGGGTTCAGTGATTTGCCCAGCGTCACACAGCTAGTATCACATGTCTGAGGTCAGATTGAAACTCGGGTCCTTCTGACTCCAGGGCCAGTGCTCTATCTATTGCACCATCTAGCTGCATCAGCAATTGATTTTTTAAGACCAAGTCTAAGGCTTTACATTAATTCTGATGAGGGTATCACTTTTGAGTTAGAAGGAGTCCTGGAGACCATCTAGTCCAACCACCTCACTGTGCAGATGAGGAAACTGAGGCCCAGAGAGGTTAAGTCGCTTGACCAAGGTCTCACCACTAGCAAGTGGCAGAGCTGGGGTTTTAACTCAGACCCTTTGACCTGAGTGCTTTTTCCATTGTACCGTTCTGACTTGATAAAATCTCACCACGTTGGATTTGGATCAGAGTTCTAGACCAGGGATTGGGGAATCTGTGGCCTCGAGGCCACACGTGGCCCTCTAGGTCCTCAAGTACAGCCCTTTGACTGAATCCAGACTTCACAGAACAAATCCCCTTCATAAAAGGATTTGTTCTTTAAAAGTTGGGCTTCATCAAAAGGCCGCCCCCAAGACCTAGAAGGCCGCATGTGGCCTCGCGGCCACAGGTTCCCTACCCCGGTTCTAGACTATTGACATCTTTGTGGATCCTGATTACCATCCAACCTGTTAACTTTTCTTCCCAGCTTTGCATGATTTTCAAATTCAATAAGCCTCCCATTTCTACCTTTATCCAAGTTATTAAATAAAATATTAGCCCAGAGGGAGGAATAGATCTCTGGGAAGTTCCATTAGAGACTCCCAAAAACAAGCATTAGTGACCGCTCTTTGGGTCTGGCCAGTCAGTCTCGAATCCACCCGGCTTTATATTGTCTAGTCCATATCTCCTCGTTTCTTCCACGAGAATAGCGTGAGAGACTTTGTTGACTAAGATCTGTATAAAATCTGTCGACAACATTTCACTGCTCTACCAGTCTCCTCAACCTGCCAACAAAGGAAACGCGATTAGTCTGGGATGAACTGTTCATGCTGCTTCTTTGTGATCACTGCTTCCTCACTAACCCTTCCATTAATAATTCATTCTAGAATTTTGCCAGGAATCAGAGTCAAGCTTGCTGGCCTATAATTTTTGCAGACACTAATCCTTGGTTTTCCTTACCTGCTTCAGTTCATTCTGCTCTTTAATGTTCCTGAGATTTTCCTCAGATTGGTTTACGAATGAATGAATGAATGAATGAATGAATGAATGAACGAATGAACGAAAAAGCATTCATTAAAGTGCTTACTTTGTAGAGTTTTTGTGCCATGTTTTTATAGTCATCTTCTGTTACTTGTCTTTGCTTTCATTTCTCCACAGGTGTTTTTATAATTAAACTTGGTCAGTGAGTTTCCCCTGTATTCATATCAGTTTGGTTTTTTTTAATTATTTTTTAAAAATTTAAACTTAGAACTCCGAAAAAGAGCATTTCCATAAATTACACAGCAGAACATAAAAAGGTTTATATATGAAACTATGAATCTCTTTTTCATATTGCTTGATTTAAAATATATATATGTACGTATAACAAATTCTACATTTTACTTTTAAAACTATCCTTGTTTGTGCTTCCTTCTGAACTCCATTCAGTTCTGTGCATTTAATTTCATTTACTTATTTGTTTATATATTATATTAAAGACTGGGTTTTCCTCTCTCATCCAGGCTAGAAGTGTAGGGCTACTCATGGGCCCGGCCCTACTCTTTGACCTGCCATGATTCTGACTTGGGCTGGTATGCCCCTCCTCAGGCACTATGGTGGACCCCAGCAGCTGGGCCCACTGTGTTAACATGAGATTGAGTGTGGACACCTGCTTGGGTTTGCCCACAACTCCCCCACCTACGTGATCTGCCAGCCTCATCCTCTTGGTAACTTGGTACTACTATGCCTGGCTTCTTTGTGCATTTAAAAAATGTTTCAGTGCCCCTCTTTTTTTTTTTTTTGGTATCACTATTCTCTACTCTTTCTCTACTCTTCTTTCTCCCTGATTTGAAACCCAGGGAGAGAAAGGAAAAAAAAAAAAGCTCTTTTAACATGTAAGCACAATCAAGCAGAATGAATCTGTACAGTGACCCTTTCAAAAAAATCCGTTTCTCTTCACCTTGAGTGTTACCTCTCAGTTAGCAGAGTGCTTCATCCTAGATCCCATCGGACGTGCTGATAATACTATTAATCAGAATTCTGTAAGTTTTGTAAAGTGGTTTACAAGTATTATCAGACAGCCAGATGGATGCATTATTGGGCTTGGAGTTGAAAAGACCTGAGTTCAAATCCTGCTTCAGATACTTACTACTTCTGTGACCTTGGGCAAGTCACTTAGTTGTTGTTTGCCTTGGTTTCCTCATCTGTAAAATAAGAAGATAACAGTGCTTATCTTCCAGGGTTATTGTGAGGATCAAATAAGATCATATTTGTAATGTGCTCTGTGAACCTTAAAATGCTATATAAATGCTAGCTATCATTGGTATCTCATTTGATCCTTACAGCATCCCTAGGAGGTAGATACTATTATCCCTATTTTACCAATGAGGAAACTTAGGCAGGCAGATGAAGTCACTTGTCCAGGGTCACAAAGCAAGTAAGGGTCTGAGGAAGGATTTGAACTCAGCTCTGTGACCACTGTGCCGCCTACCTACCTCTAGGGTCAGTTAAAAGTGAGGTTAACCTGATGTGTTCTTCCCAACCCCTTTCTCTGTGTTTGTAGTCTTCTCTTCTCATGCACCCCAATTATGAGATAGAATGTTCTACCCTATTTTTCCTCTTTTCTGCACTAATGTAATCCTTTTGTATTTCCTTCTGTTTCTATTCTTCAGACCCTCAGAACAACCCACCCCCAAGTCCTCTGGTTTTCTTACTTAACTGTTTATTAAAGTCTATAAGAGACACATGTCTTCTGCATTAGAATGTTAGCACTGCATTATACATATGCCCCTTCTAAATGTTCATCTCTGGTCTTTTTTATTAGAAATCCTTGAAAGCCTTTGAAAGATACACAAACTTATATTTAACTTTGCAAGGTAGATATTTCTTCGTTATAAGCCAATATCTTTTGCCTTTGGAAAATAGTATTCCAATATTTCCTCTCATTTAGGGTAGAAGCTTCTAGGTCTTATATGATCCCATCTGGTCCCTTGGTACTTGAACTGCCTCTTTCTGACTGCTTGGAGTATTTTTTCTTTAACATGGAAACTTTGAATTTTAGCTATGACATTCCAGGGAGTTTAAATTTCAGAGTTTTTTTTACAAGGAGATTGATAGGTTCTTTTTATCTTTGCCCCTGGTTCTATTAGATTTGTGTACTTTTCACTTATGATTTCTTGAAATATAGTGTCTACTCCAGGGGTGGGTCTAGCCTGGTCTACGCTTTAAAAAAAAATCTTAGTTTTCAGAGAGTGCAACAGTTCTTAGGCTCTGTCTTTGAGCTGTTTTCTAGGTAATTGTTATTGATACCTTACTTTTTTTTTTCATTAAGAAAAACTTTTGATTTTGTTCACTAATCCTTTCTATCTCTATGAATCATTGATTTCTGTTTGGTCTTTTCTGATTTTTAGGAAGACTGTTAACTTGGGTAAGCTTTACCACTATCTTTTCTAAGCTGTTTGTTCCCTTTATAATTCTTTTCTCCTGACCTTTTATTTAATTTTTAATCTCTTGCTTCATTTTTTCTAGGTATTCGTGTAGTGCTTATGGAATATCTGGTTGTTGTTTTTTCCTTTAAATGTTGGCTTGTAATTGTTATGGAGCTCTGGTCTCCTAATTTGGATCTTTTACATATTTCTTCTTAGTAGTTGGTCTCTTTCTGTTCGCTTAACTTTGTAGCCTTAGTTCCTGAATAAGGGTTTTGTGTCAGGGTCTAGCTCTGCCTCCCATAGACCTTTGGATGGGGTGGTAGGCCCTGCTTGGTCTCATGCTGGATCCCCTGAATTCCTGTGCTAACAGGTCCTCTAGGGTGTCTCAGGATGGAGACGTGGGTGCCATTGCTTGCCTGGGCTGCTGCTCTGGTCTTAGTGCTGCCACACCTCCTTGGTCCCTGCCACTCCCTCAGTGCTTCTGTGGTTGGTCTTCTCTGAGGGACACAGATCTCCACTCTTGTTTCCTCCACACACAGAGCCCCCAGGCTGTATGTGTCTCTGGCCCTTCTCTGATCGTTCTGGGAGGATGCTGACTTGTTATCTGTGCTGTTGCTGGTTTTGTTGGTGTCCCCTTCTCATATTGCCTGCGGGCTTCTGACTGAGATGGAAGTAGTCCTTACTGAACAGTTTGTAATTGAATTTCTTGGGGAATCTGTTCACTTTACCGTGAATTTCAGTGTTTTGCAGGATTAGGTACACAGGGAGCAGAGTGGTCTGGATCCACCCAGGCAGCCATCTTGGCCAGATCACATCAGTCTCTTTAGAGGAAAAGGTTATGGTGGAGAGTAGACATGGGAGGGAAAGAAGTTAGGGACTTTGTAAATGTTACTGATTTTACCCAACATTTCAAGCTTTTTTCAAGTAGCGTGTGTGAGAGTACCCTATTCAGTTTCCACTGTTTTGTGGAATTGCCTGCTATTCTATGCCAGGCTTTCTACTAGCAATCCATATTAGGCTCAGTCAAAGACTACTGGGGCTAAAGTCTTGGGCTGTAGGACTCTGGTGTTGTGGAAGATCCCGTTAGAGCCTCGGCAGAGGTGGGTTCCATCCTTCCCCGCCAAGCTGATATTCCAGTTCGGCATGATGTTAAACCTGTCACTCCCTTTTCTCCATAGGTGTTTGTGGTTGGGAATGAGCTTGGTGCAGCCTTGCTGGAGTCCTTGCTTCCAGATCTGAGGATTGTTTTCTCTCTCTATTGCTTTACTCGGCAGAATGTGTCTCCCTTAAGGTAAGAGTCTTGTCTGACCTGGGAAACATCACAGTCTTACTCTGGGTGATTCTCCTCTCCAGTCTAAGAAGTGGGTCTACAGCTAGGACTGTCTCTCTTGATGTCAGAAGTGCATTCTGGAACAGTCAGCCGTCAACAAACCTTTAGCAAGCACTTTGTGCCAGGCACTGTGTCAAGTGTGTGTGGGTCTACAAAACAGCCAATAACATGGTCTCTGCCCTCCTGGAGCTCATGGTCTGATGGGGAAGACAAGGTGCAAACAACCACATACCCACAAGACATAGGCAGTGTAAGTGGAAGGTCATCTTAGATGGACGGCATAGACATAGAGTGGACTTGTGAGGCCTTCCTGCAATCTGAGTCTCAAAGGAAGCCAGGAGGCTGAGATAGGCAGGGTGGGGAGCATGCCTATCATGGCGGACAGACAGACATACAGTCAGGAGATGGGGCTTGTGTGGAAGGAGCGGCCAGGAGGCTGGCATCTCTGGATTGTAGAAGGGAGTGAGAAGACTGGAAAGGAATTTGTATTTGATGTTGGAGGTAATAGGGGTGATGGGTCCCTGAGCAGAGAGTGACACAGTTATACCTGCACTGAAGGAAAACCACTATGGCCACTGTGTGGAGGATAGATTGGAAAACACATTTTTCTGACCGTTTGAAGGAAGAGAGAATGTTGGTGGTTCATGGGTGACTGGAAATTGTATTTACTTTATTCTTTGACTTGCTAGCAGTGAGGCTTTTGAGATAGTTCTCCTCCTAGGAAAGGGACTTTACATTTTCTTGTGTAAACATGTCACTGCTTGACTATCAAGAAATACAGGAATTAAGCATACGGGAAGAAGGAAATAGAGCTTGGCTGATAACCATCTTGTGGGGAGAAAAAACCTGATAGAGGAATTGGCTCATAGCAGTTACAATGTCTTATTTATAGTGAAGGAAATACTTAAGGGTCTACATGGTAATCTTCTGTGATGGAGTAAAAGTTTAAAGAGCTGTTCATGGAGGGAGTTTCTCACTCATGCTTTTTAGGCTGCAGAGGAAATGACATCAACTCATTTACCATCAGCTTATTTAGCAACTCTCGATTCTAAAGACTGGCTGAAGTCTTGTCATATGCTTTAGAAATTATGACAAACTGTATCATAATGTGTACTTATGTTTCCCTTCCCCTCCTCCTAGTTTTTCATATTCAAGTTTCATAGTAATAGCTTCTGTTTGTTTCATGCATTATGGTTCATAAAACATTTCACATCATCACAGTTCATCCTCACAGTGGTTAGGTAGGGTGGGTGTCACCATCATTTTATAGCTAAGCAAAGTTATTAAATGACTTGTGCAAGGTTAACTAGTAAGTGCCAGAAAGGGGACTTGACTTGGCAGAGGTCATGTAGACAGAGCTGGGGTCAGAGGCCGAGTCTTCTGGTACCCATAGAGCCCAGGCCTGGCGACCCCTAGTCCCGTGTTCATCCCGTCACATCTTGCCCCTCACCATCACCATTCGGGACGTTTGCGTTACAAAGTCTGGCACAGACCAGAAGACAGAAGCTAGGTCATAGGAAGTCAGGAACACTGGTGAAGGCACTGAAACGTCTTAGCCAGTCTCTTGGTGTGCTCCTACTTTTCAGGAATAACATGAAATTGGCAACGGAAAGTTACCATTTTTGTCTGGTAACTTTGGCTTAAACTTGTTTTGAGAGGAGTGCTATAGTACCTTCATGTCTTCATCAGATTGACTTGATAGCTAGGATGTCGTAGAAAGAGAACCAGGCCTGGACAGGATAGACCTGGTGTAAAAATGAAAATTGATTTTAATTCTATTTTTAAGGTTTAGTCAGCTAGATTTAATATTCTCCTTTGCTGTAAGTTTTACTCGGGTAACCCCAGGTCACTTTTCTCATAATTCTTCTCTTGTGTCTTATGTCTCCACCCCTGCAACTTCACCCGCCACCCACATTCTGGGGAAAAGTCAAGCTTACCCTAAACTGTTGTAGACTCCTCCCATCTTCCAAGGTGTCATTGTCTTACCTTTGCCCGGTGATCTGATTCACATGTCTTGTTTATGGCTAAGGGGTTCTTAGGAGAGGTCCAGGCGATGGTAATATCAAACCGAGGTCAGAGGGTTTTTACTTTCTGGCCATTCAACGTATCTGCACATCTATGTAGCTCAGAATTTTGCTCTGTTGTCTTGTTCATTGCTATAAAATACCTCGGTATCCTGCCTTTGAGGTGTCTGGCATTATTGAGGTAGCTGTTGACCCATTTTGTTAGTAGATTCATGCTCTGCTGGTATACTGGTAGTGCCCAGAAAGCTACTACTCAGCTTCCTTTGTATACAGCAGGGACCCTGGGTTTGACATTTACCAGCTATGAGATCTTGGGCCTGTCAGACTCCTCATTTGTAAAGTGGAGATAATGATAACTATATGACATTGCGTATCTTTGTTGAGAGCAAAGGGCTTTATTGACCTCATAGTATTACATACAAATGTTGAATTATCTATTGGACTTTAAGCATCTATAAGAACAGGGAACCAGTTCACATGTAAACCTGGAATCTCCTCCAATACTAGCACAAACTCCAGCACACAGTAGGTACTTGATAAATATTTGTTAAGTGACTGAGTGAATTTGGTTTGTGCCAATATTTCCTCCTTTCCTTTTTTATTGCTTATTAATTTTTTTTTGCAGTTGATCTGTTTTTATTTTAAATATCACTTAAATTTTTTTCCCTAACTGCAAATATTTTTTTTCTTTTTTAAAAAAATTTTGTTCTGCCCCTCCCACTACCTCCCCTCTCCCCATTAAGCAAATGAAAAAATAATAAAGCCTTCAATTCATACATGTCATAGGCTGGCAAAACACATTCGCACATTTGGGAAATGTCCATCTCCTTCGCACATTAGGTTTATCACCTCTCTGGCAGGAGATGAATGATAGGTTTCATCTTCAGACTTTGGGACTCATCATTTATCATTGCACTGATCAGAATTCTAAAGTCTCCCAGAGTCGATTTTCTCTATAATGTTGTGTCATTATATAAATTGTTCTAGTTCTGACTTTCCTCTGTATTGGTTCATCAAGGTTTTCCCAGTTTTCCGTGAAACTATTTCATCATTTCTTATAGTACAACAATATTTCATCACTTGCATATCCCAGAATTTGTTTAGCCATTCCTCAATAGGATACCCTTTTACTTCGTAATTTTTGGCTATCATGAAAAGAGCTGCCATAACTATATTTGTTCTATTGGTCCTTTTCCTCCTTTTTTGGATTTCTTTGGGGCCTCATCTCATGGTGGTATGACTGGATCAAAGGGTAACTTCCTCCTTTGCTGTCTTGCTCTCTTAAATCTTGGTTGCATTAATGGTGGGGAATTTTGTAGCATAATTGTGATACTTCCTAATCATAAGTATTGGCCCCATGGAAGGTATGTGACTTTATTACAAATATTTGCTTTGTTTATCCAAAATACAGTCCCTGTAGGATTTGTGTTAGAATATAGAGATCAAACAAGTGGAAAAGAATCCATGTGTATCACTTGTACTGGCAGTAATACATGCTTGAAATGTTCTCCTTTCTCATCTCTCTCCACCGCTTAGAATCCCTGGCTTCCTTCAAGACTCAGCTCAAGCCTCACCTTGCAGGAAGCCTTCCCTAGTGGCCTGGAGCCATGGTACTGTGCCCAGCCTACTTTGTATGTGTGTGTGTGTGTGTGTGTGTGTGTTATGGATTCTATATCATCTATGTGATATGTGTAATGCATACCACCTTAAATAAAATAATTCCATGCAGATCGAAGCATATTATTTGCTATTTTTTTTCTTCTGTTGTGTTTTGTTCCCTCTTTCTGGTGGTTCCTCTTATTGGTTCTAATTCTTACTTACAACATCACTAATGTGAAAATATGTTTAATAGGAATGTATATGTATAGCTTATATCAGATTGCACGTCATCTTGGGGAGGGAAGGGGAGAAAAATTTAAAACTCAAAAGCTTATGGAAGTGATCATTGATAATTCAAAATAAATTAATTAAAAAAATAATTCAACATAAAAAATCATGAGGTAAATATGTCATCTGGCGGCTGCTGCCCTTTTAGGGTCCTCAGCACTACTCTGTTGGTCTCCCCAGCTGTTAGCGCCTTCCCCTCACAGATGACCTTTGTATACATTGGTATTTCATGTTGTCTCCCCTATTCAATGTACGCTCATTGAGAGTAGGGACTACGCTGGATTTTTTTTTCTTTTCTCCCCCTCTTTGCATCCTCAGCTCTTAGCCCATGGCCTGACACTTGGTAAGTACTTGATAAATGTTTGTCTGATTTGCCTCCAGAGCCAAGGAGTCATCAGTCATCCGTTGGATGCTTGGGGATCCTGCAGTCTGAAGTTGGTGAGCAGAGCAGCCCTGCTCAGTGACAGGGGCCATATTCTTTGGCTGTATTCGCTCATTCACAGTGTAGGAGACAGGCTTATGCCTCACTGTTCTTCCTGCCAGGTCCTTTTGCCAAGAGATCTTGTTGTGGATGCTGAAGAAGCTGGAGAGAAAGGCAGCTCTGGCCGCTCTGAAGGGATTGGCGGGTCTGGATAGGTCAGTGCCTTCTCTCCATCCTCTGTGTGAATTCAGAGCTGCCAGTGAAGGCAGCACAATGGTAACCATCAAAGAGACGAGCAGGTGAGTACATCCTTCTCCCTTTCGCTGTTCTCAACACCTGATTTAACCCATTCTTTGGCTTAACCACTAAGGGGAGCCCATAGAAAGGAAGCCTGGAACATTCTCTTTAGTGATTGTTATCCTTGCCGTGTGCTGTCTGAATGTGAGCATTAAGAAAGCCTGGGTGGGCCTTTTTTCTAAGAGCTGAGGAATTGGTGGCCCAGCTTGTTAGAAACTCGTAGTTCTGCATAGAGACAAACTTAGCTCTTCATAGAGCCTTCACATCAGTGAATCAGAGTGAAGGGCAGGCTCACAGCTAACCTCAGCACTACAGGAAACCAAATCATTCTCCCTGAAAATGATTCAAGTAGGTGCAGGGTTAGTGTGTTAGGTTTGTCTGATGGTCTTCATCTATTCTATTTTTGAGTTCAGAGGAGAAAATTACAGGAGTCTTCTGTGCCTGGAATTTACCTACTGACCTGGAGCCATAGTACTGTGCCCGGTCTGATTTGTGGAGATCGCCAAACTCTCTGTGTGTGTGTGTGTGTGTGTGTGTGTGTGTGTGTGTGTGTGTGTGTGTGCTTTGGATCCTATAACATCTATGTGACGTGTGTAGTACATGCCACCCTAAAATATACACTTCCAGTTCAGAAATCACGTTGTAAATATGTTTAACTAGTGGCTACTGTGTTTCCTATTGGGGTCCTTCATCGCATGCAACGTGTAGGCATTTGTTGAATGAAACATTGTGCATGTCTCCTTATTCCCAAGGTTCATTTAATGACATTTTTAAGAACCATTTTAGTGTGAAGGATTTTTTTTTTTGGTAAATAAATCAGTGAACTGAGACCCAGTCCTCAAATTGTCTAATTTTTGGTGAATGTTATCAGGTTTTGTGATTTAGATGTGCACACATACTGAAATATTTAAATACTTCAGGTGTTTGAACAGTTCTTTGAACCATTTTTAACTGGGAGTCCCACTGGATTTGATATAGGAGAGTCATAAATACAGTTCGTTAAGAAGAGATATCCAAATCATCAAGTGGTGATAGGGTTCTGTTGGTACTGATGGGAATAAATAGGTTTCCTTGCCAAGAGGGAAAGAATTGAATAGGCAGCTATTGAGGAAATAAATTCCTCTTTTACCACTAGAGGGATATGTGAGGTGGGTTTTTTTTCCCCCTTCTATCATTTATGTTTAAGATTGCTGCTATTTCTGCCACTAATGGTAATCCCTCCAGGGCATAATTCAGGCATTTTAATGAGAGAGCAAAAGGCAAGTGTGTAATAGAGTTAGCTTTACAGTACCAGTTTGATAATAAAGAATTTATAAATAGCTTTAAATAAATCAAAGAGAAGAACAGTACTGATTTTTTTTTTGGTTGTATTATTTTTGGAACTGCACATAAGCTAATTAGTAGACTATTTAGCAGCCAAATATTGACACAATAAAACAGTGTTATTCCACTAGTTACTATCGTGCCTTTTTCTTTTCAATAAATATTTATTTAAAAACATTTTTACATTTCTGCCCCTTCTTAATGATGCCCACCCTTTCATGGAAACCTATTCTGCACCTGTAGTCCGTAATCTTTCCCCTGTGTAGAGGGAGGCCTATTCCACCATCAGTTCTCTGGTGTCAGGATTGGACATTGCCTTGCTCAGAGTTCTCATATCTTTAGGGTTGTTTTCTTTCCTTGGTTCTTTGTAATTCGTCAGTTTGTCTGCACTCCTCATATTCACTGCTGCCTCTGATTCAGTAGTATTCGATTGCATTCACATGCCTCATTTGTTCAACCACTCCTCAATCGATGGTTGCCCACCTTGCCTCCATTTCTTTGTTACCAAAAAAGACCTGCTATGGACATTTCTGCACAGGCGCCCTTTTCTCTGTCTTTGATGGAATGTATGTCCAATAGTATGTTAGCTGGGTCAAAGAATATATCATGCTTTTTCAAATGTAATATTGTACATAGATGTAAATAATGCTGCCACTAGACAGACATTTGGAAGTGGCATAAGTACATTTCAGTTTTTTCTTTATTTAAAAAAATATATATAAATTAGGGAAAATGTGAGTAATCTAACACCATGGGCTGATAAACCAGCTAATTCAAAAGCTAAATACCCAGATTCCTCACTCTAGGTGTCTTATGAGTGGGTCAGAGATGCTCATTGGGAAGTGTGATGTTGCTGACCGAAGAAAAATAGCTTCAAATCTTATCTTCTTCTGCAGCAAGTTGGGAAAGAGTTGCTCTCACATGTGACAGAGTAAAGTAGATGGGTTCCACATCTAATTGGGTTACACAGTCACCATCTAACTTGTTTCTTCGTCTTTGTTCACTTGTTCACTCCTATGTTTAATTGTATCATTCCAGATTCTAAGCTGATGTAAGAGTATGTTGGATATTTCCTCATTCATTATCAAAAATGTCAACATATCTATTAATCAGTTAGGCTTAGAGCCCCCATCACAATTCATCCAGACAGCTCGGTGATGTAATTAGATCATTGGATCAGGAAAACCTGAGTTAAATCGTGCCTTAGAAGTTTAGTTGTTGTGTGACTCTGACAACTTTTGTCAGGCTCAATTTTCTCATCTGCAGAATGGGGCTAATCATAGCACTTTGGCTATTGTGAGGATCAAGCGAGATAATAAAGCACTTTTCATGCCTTAAAGCTACATGTAAAAATTAACTGTTGCTATTTTTTATTTAATAAATTTGGAGAAAGCACCTTTCCTGAAAGTAGTTACTCATATCTCTCTATTACAACTCTCAAACACCTAGGATTAAGTAAATAGGAAAGTTACTAAATGTATACCTGGCCAACAGTGAAAAATCATTAATAATAAGCATAATTATTTAAAATATTTTAGCAATGAAAAAGATCACAGCCACAGTCGCTGCAGGCTATCACTGTAAATATGTTTGACTTCTCTCTACTTCTCCTAACAGTCCCACACTATTCGGGATAATACACAAAGTCTCTTTGCACGAATCCTCTTCCTCCTCTTATTACTCCCTCATGAAAAGTTTGTAGGGGCAGATCCATTTTTGTTAGGATTTCGTATTCGCTTTCTAAACTCAACTGATCTTTTCACATTGCTAAACAAAAGGTATCATTCCTTACCTATGATGATTGGATTTTGGAGGGTAGTAGTTGCAGAAATGGACCAGCACATCTCAGAGTGCCAATATTGATAAACCAGTGACGGTCAGAGCAGTGAGTGTGATGCCTGCCCTCAGGAGCTGGGGGCTTTGTGATCCTGTACAGCTCAGGGAGAAATTCCCATTCCATCTTCTTGACTACCACCCCTTTCCCTGGGGATCACCAGCAGCAGGTCGCCTCTGCTCAGTTACCAGATGGGTGTCTCCTCCTTCCCCTCAACGATAGTGCAGTTTAAGTGGGGGCTCTCTCACACAGGGAGCCCCTGCCATTCCTGGTAGAAGTGCCCGGTCATCTAATGAGGAGAACCAAGGGGGCAGCTCCCCTGAGGCTGAGAGGCCAGGGAAGCAGGAGAGAGCCACATACCTGATTGGCCCCGACCCTACTATCTCCAGACTCCCCTTAAGAAGTGTACTGAAGGGCAGGGCGAGGAAGTCTAGGAAGGATTCAGGATGTGGTAGACTGAGCAGGAAATCAGAGAGAAGTGGTAAAGGATGGGGAGGTAGGAGGTCCCTGGGGAACAGGAAAATTCCCTCAGAATCCCCCTTCACTTTATTTCCCATCCTCTTTACCTGTGTGGCCCCTCTGTCCGATGTTCCTCTGGTGCCCCTTGGTGGCTTTACAGCCAAGGCTGGCTGTAAAGAGCATCAGGGAAGAAGAGTAGAGCAGGAAAAATATTACAGGTGACTTGGTGTGCGTTGGGAGGAAAGTGATTCTTCCACCTGCCCTTTCAGCACCCCCACTTTGGCTTCTGTCTCAGCTACTACCCACTTTTATTTGTTTCAGTCTTTTGCTTGTTTGTTTTTAGGCAATTGGGGTTAAGTGACTTGCCCAGGGTCACACAGCTAGTAAGTGTCAAGTGTACGGTCTGAGGCCGGATTTGAACTAAGGTCCTCCTGACTTCAGGGCCAGTGCTTTATCCATTGTGCCACCTAGCTGCCTCTGTTTCAGTCTTTTGTAGGAAGCTATTCCAACTCATTTTTCCTAGGAATGAGAGAGTAGGAACTTTAGAGAATGCGAATTAAGGGGGTTCAATAGATAGGTTCTCTAAATCAATTTTTAGTTTTAAGGAAGCTAAGTGGTACGATGGACAGAATGCTGGGACTAGAATCAGGAAGACCTCGATTCAAATCTAGCCTTCTGCACTTACTAGTTTGTGACCCTGGGCAAGTCAATTAGTATCTTCCTGCCTTAGTTTTCTAAACTGTAAAATGTGGATCATGATAGCACCTACCTCACAGGGTTTTTGTGAGGATCAAATGGGATTTTATATTATATATGTGTGTGTTCACACACACACACACACACATATATGAGAGAGAGAGAGAGTGAGGGAGTGCTTTGCAAATCTTAAAGTAATATGTAAATCATAACTATTAATAGTTGTATATTTCTTTAGGGCATATGTATTATATGTGCAGATTAAAGCAAATGATTATGTTTACAGGGCTGTAGCCTGGTTATTGAAAATTAATCATTTAAATTTCCAGCATGGGAAATGCTATTCATTTGTATACTTCATAAGGTTATTGAAATCCCCCCCTCCATCTGAAATCTTTCGGACGATAATCTGTATAGGAGTAAAGTGTTGCTTTAGAAAAAAGTGTTGCTTTGGAAAAATACGGGTTGTTTTGGGTTTTTTTGATGTCCTGCTTATAGGTGATGCTGACAAAGTAAATGTTGTCCTGCATTGCAGTGACGAGGACGAAGTTCTGTATCAGAAAGTCGCCTCGGAGCAGGATCAGGTAGAGTTTCTGGTGGACCTGCTGTCTCAGTGCCAGGAGTGCGGTCTGGCAGGAGACTTCTTCATCTGCTGTTTGGAGGTAAGAGTTACACACAGCACTGCAGCGGCAGGGTCCCGGAGAGCCCTCGAGTTTTGATGAGGTGGAATCCCGTGCCATCCCACGGAGGTTGCCCACAATTACAGGTTCCTCTCACCACTAACAGGGTGGTTACCAGAGAGTGTGAAGGCAGGTCTGCTGGCAGCCCTTCATTCAGATAGGAAGGAGGATGATCTTTCTTCAGCAGCACAGATGTCATCACTAACCCTGCTTCTTTCCAAGACTATGTTAGCTATGATTTTACCTACAAAGCTGACCCTTAGTCTGTGCCAGGGTTAATCATTGCTGTAGGTGGATAGGAAGGACCCTTCTGAAGTTAATGGGAGGAGGTTTTGCAGCTGTTGAGTAAGACCTGTTCCTTCTGACTTATTTTGTGAGGGATTTTGGGGGGAGCCCTAGAAGCTTAGCCTCTCTCATACCAGCTTAGAACCTTTGGGGTGCCTGCTCCCAAGAGGGAGATGAGGGTGCTACCCCTTACTCAATCTCAGCTGTGTTCTGGTGCTCTGAGATCTTCCATGGTGTTTATGCTGATAACCTGAGCGGGGGGGGGGGGGGAAGAGGGTCCGTCTGTAGCTACCTCCACTCTAGAAGGAGGAAGCAGTGCTCCTGGGGAAGCATAGAGGGTTTGGGGTGACAAAAGGCAAGTACCCCTCTGGAGAGGGACATTGCTTCAGGGCCCAGGGTCCACCTCCCTGGGATGTGACACAGCTTCCTGCATCTTCCTGGCCATAGATTTGATTTCATTCCAGAGATTTTGTTCTCAGTCATTTAATCTCGATGGGGCCTTAGCTGATACTGGGCTTAAGGTTTTGCCACTTACAGCAATGTTTGCATTTTAATGGGCAACTCTACCTAATGGTAGAATTGAAGGCCCCTGAGGTTTTCTGTTTTGTTTGTTTTTGCCTCTGAACCCTAGTAAATGTGGTATTTCTTAGAAACTGGTCTGCAGTGGAGGGATATGAATAAATATCCTTAAGTGAATCCTGGGAAGGCTAAATGATAGATTATACAGTATTGATATATTAAGCAGATGACTCCATGTAGGGTGATTGGCATAATGATATTCAGTGCTGATTACTTAGATTTCTGTCTCTGAAATGCTTGTTTCTGTTGCTTTTTATGTCACTTTTTCTTTTGACCTGCTCTTCCAGGAGCTGACACATGTAGCAGCGGAAGATAAAGCAGGGTTCCACCCGAGCCCCTCTCCCATGGAAGCCTCTTGGCCCTGGAAGAATACCGAAGTTTTCTCGTTGAAGAGCAGGAGAAGAAGCTGCTGACCTTGCACGTGGTGGCCGTTCTGTGCGAAAGAATGTCCGAAACGGTCTTTACCAGTATCACCCAGGTCAGTCAGGCCTGAGCCCCGGAACCCTGGTGGCCCACTGTCAGGCCAGAGGAAGTCGCCAGGCTCATGCTTGTTGGCCTGTCTGGTTGTGAAAAGAGCACCAAGATGTGGGGGAGGGGTCCCCGAAAAGCTTGCTCGCAGCGAGACTGAGGGCAAGTCATTTGCCCTCACTGATATCGTCACTTCCTCCTGTCCAAAAGGAGTGAATGATGCTGGCGCTAGCCACCTGACAAGGTTCTGGTTGGAAGAGTGTTTTGTAAAACCCCAAAACAGTATGTAAACCAGTATGTAAATCAGTAAAATTGTTGTTTTGGTCCCTAAGCATATTTTAGAAAATCTGATTTCTCTTTGTCACTGATGGCAATAATGATGGTACTTTAGATTTTTAAATTACTTTTCCTCCTCACATTGTGTTTACTTAATTTTTATCTCCACTCTGTCCTGTGACATTTGAAAGCGTTCTAAGGAAATGTTAGGGCACAGGGCTGCTTTGCAAACCAATAATATAAAAAGTTTAGCAATCCAAGTCAGCATTTGTAGGAATGCAGGAAGTTCTGGCAGCACAGTTAATGAAGTTGTTTTATTCTCTAGAGAGAGGAGGTGTTCCATAGATGAGGGGAAGGTATGCTATTTCATACTTTATCTAATGGTCAAAAGGTCCAGAAAATGTCTTTCTATCTCTAATGTAAATATGGATACTGATCACCATCACAATAACAGCAGAAATACGATAATACAGACTGAATAATGTGACAGAATTAATAACGTAACAAACACTGGCAAAATGCTAGCTAAAACGCAGGGATACCGTAATGGAAAGTTAGTGTTGTCTTAAACTGCATCAAGAGGCAAAGTACACAGGACAGGGGAGGGGATAGTTTTTGGTATTGTGTCCAGCCCTGGGGCCACATTTTAGGAAGGACAGGGATAATCTGGAGAGGTTCTAACAGAAAACCTCTGGGAGGATGACAGGCTTCTGAGCCTGGCCATGTAAGAAAGGTCAAAGAAGCTGGGGATGGGGAGAACATAAGGTTTGTTGCCAGGTATTTGAAGGGCTCTTAGGTGAAAGAGGGCTTGCTTTTTCTTCTCGGTTCTGCAGGGGAGAGCCAGGAATGAGGAATGGAAGTTACAAAGAGGCATATTTTGGCTTGAGCTATGGAAATGTGTCCTTATCACTACAGGTGTCCAGTAGGGGAGGGGCAACCCCTCTGGGCCTGTTACAGAAGATCTTTTTTTTTTTTTAGGCAGTTGGGGTTAAGTGACTTGCCCAGGGTCACACAGGTAGTAAAGTGTTTGGTCAGATTTGAATTTTGATTTGAATTCAGGCCCTCCTGACTCCAGGGTCGATGCTCTATCCACTGTGCCACCTAGCTGCCCCTACAGAGGACCTTCTTGTCCAAGGAAGTGTCATCCTCAGTGGTGGCCTTGGCCGATGTGTCTGTGATAAATGTGTCTGACCTACTACCCCTTGACCAGAATGGACTGTATTGCCCTACATGTCAGACTTGGGTTGTTGCTTGAAAATTTCTGAATCCCTGGTCTCTGTTGAGACCCCAGTATTATCCACCTTCTTCTATCAGGCAGTACTTTATCATGTCTCCTGATGGGAAAATTTGTAGCCACCTGTCAACTCTTATACCTTCCACCTCTCTAAAGAGAATAATAGTGATATTTTCTTCTCTAGACTTATTCTCTGAATTAACTAATCCCCTCTAGGTGATTTTTTCCCTCCTGTATTGACATGAACTCTCTAGAGACTTTATTACCCAAACTGAAGCTCTTTGTCTCAGAGTACTTCTGGGAATGGAAATAACGCAACAGTGCTATCACCTAGTGTTACGCATTCATCCTTAACCCTTTGTAAGAGAGTGGTAGCAACAGTATGACAGTGAAGGCCAAGGCTCCTTCTTCCTCATACCACCCATGGCCTTTTCTAATGCATGGGAGGCATCATCACTTCCTGACTCCTTCTGATGGGACCCCGCCTCCTCCTGCCCCTGCCTGCCGTGAGCTGAGACTCCTAGGGCTTCAGAAGATAAAAAAATTACCTCCTGCCGCTGGGTGGACCTCAAGGGAGGACCTCAGACAGTCCGATCACATGCCTCCCCAATGGACCTCTCTCCAGCTACTGATAATCTGCAAGACTCACTCCTCAGGGTTTAGCATATCCCCACTGCCTCACGCTCTCCTCATGGCAGTATCTCTGAACCCCTGGCTGTGGAAGTATAAATCGTATTCCCTTTCTCCAATGTCCTTTCCTCCTACTCGCCTCCTCCCAGCCCCCACCCCTGTCCCCCACTGTCCCACTTCCTATCTGTCTGCTTTTGTGGCTTTTGGAATGCCTGCCCCATAATTTCCAAATTTTCTTTTATTTTAAACCTCTTCATTTCTCATTTCTTCAGTCCTCTGGTACTCACTGAGGCCTGGCTCCCTCCTGATACCGCTCTTTCCCTTGACGTCCTTTCCTGTATGATCTGTACTTTCTCTCATGGACCCCCCGGACTTACTGGTCATCGCAGGGGATGAGCATCCTCCTTGCTTTCAGTGTCTCTTCCAGACCCTCCCTCTGTCACATCACTCAGCATCATCCCTCCTCCTCGAGGTTCGTGCTGTCCAAATTCATTACCCAGTCCATATCCCGGTGGTCATTATTCTTCTGCCTCTAGGATATTCTTTCCTTAGTCAATGAGCTCAGTGCCTGGCTTAGTACTTTTCTCCTCCCTGACTCCTGACTTCAGTGTAGGGGACTTTAACATACACAATAATGCTTCCTCGAATATCTCTGCTTCCCAATTTCTCAGTGTCCTTATTTCCTGTGATGTACTCCTCTGTTCCACCTCACGCCACTGAGCCGGCCATCTCCCGCCAACATCCCACTTCCATGTTAACAAGCTGTGGAGTCCCTTTACCTGTTTGGAGGTGGAGGGAATAACAAAACTGACTGATTGTGTCTTTCCTCCAGGGATTTGTCTTCTTGGTTTATCTAACACTGGTCTGCTCTTTTTTATTGCTTTTTTTTTTAAGGATTAATCTTCTGTTTTATATGTTGAGGACCCTAGGGTACCCACAAACCTGTGAATGGGCTTTCTTTGATCAGAATTGTATCATGTTGATTCTTTGTCGTGACACCTTGAGGACATTAGGGTCCAGACACACTTGAAGGGGGTTTTGCTAATGAAGTTGATGTGTGATATCGCCTGAGCTAACAGGCAGATATGTTCATCTTCTACTTGGAATTTCTTGGTAAAATTGACGAGGCAGCAAAAGAGGTAACTGCTCTGTATGTTAAATTTGACAGAGTTTAAAGTGTTACATAAAAATAAGGTATTGCTGGTGTGTACTCTCACGTTGTGCCGGGGTCCTTTTGTAGTAACTGTTGTTGATAGCCCAGCAGCAGCCCCACTCTGGTAACGCACTTGCTGGCGCAGAATAATTGCTTAATGAGCGCTTGCTGACCTGCCCCTGACGTCTTACGTCCTTCTGCCGATGGTCCCTTGTCTCGATTGGTCTTAACTGTTCTGCGTACTCTCTTGTGCTTCACGACGTTTAGTAGGTCTGTAGCAGCCTTTTTTTTTTTTAACTTGAGTTTCAGGAATATTTTTTTAACCAGCCCGTGGTTTTAAATTCCTCTTCTGTGGCAGGTGGTGGAATTTGTAGCAGCCACATTGAAGAGAGCTTGTCTCAGCTTAACGCAGGAGTCAGAGAGTGTTGTGGAAGCACAGACTTTGAGTATGTCGATGGGACTGGTGGCTGCCATTTTGGGAGGTGCTGTTCAGGTAAGTCGCACAAATTAGGATAGCTTTATTTGGAGGCAAAAGGGGAGGGAGGAAAGATATGACTTACTCTCCTACCCTCACTAGAATTGGGAATGGACATTTTTTGGGGGAGAGGGGCATCCTATGTGACTTGGATAAACAATCCCGACTCTCCAAAGAATTTCCTACAAGTTCAGAGAATAAGGAATCCCTCCTGTTTCTTGGAGACTTCATTTGATCTCAAACTTCCACCTAAAGAGGGCAGAACAATTTGAAATCCAAAGACTGGAGGGTTGAATGCCGGGTAAGACATTCTTGACTTGTGGTAAAATCACTTAACTTTTCAGCCTCAGTTTCCTCAGCTGTTAAGGGACAGTTTGGCATTGTAGACAAACGAGGAAGATTGGGGCCAAGGTCCTGCCTCTCTCATATCCTGTCTTTGTTATCCTGGGCAGGTCACTTGACCTAGTAGAGAAAGTTCCCTATACCAGTGAAACCTTAGAGCTAGGCCCCACCTCTCTCTCTGAGATAGGAACAATAATACCTGTACTTCCCAGAGTTGTTGTGAGGAAAGTACTTTGTTTTCTAGGGTTTGTTTTTTTTTTATTTTCAGTTCCAAATTTTCTTTCTTCCTCCCACCCTCCCCCACCCATTGAGAAGGCAACCAATGCGATATCCATTATACATATGAAGTCAACAAAACGTACTTCCACATTAGTCAGGTTGTGGGAGTTAAAAAAAAAACAAAACAAGAAAAATAAATAAAATCAAGAAATATATGCGTTTACCTGCTGATCATCGTGCCGATACTGTTGTCACTGTGTACAGTGTTCACCTGGTTCTGCTCACTTCAGTTTGCATCAGTTCATATAAATCTGCCTGCTCATCATTTCTTATAGCACAGTAGTATTTCATCATAGTCATATGCCACAACTTGTTCAGCCATTTCCCAGTTGATGGGCATTCCCTCAATTTCCAAATCTTTGCCACCACAAAAAGAGCTGCTATAAATATTTTTGTGCAAATAGGTCCTTTTCCCTTTTCTTTGATGTCTTTGGGATACAGACCTAGTAGTGGTGTTGCTGGGTTAAAGGGTATGCATAGTTTTATATCCTTTTGGGCCTAGTTTCAAATCATTTGCCAGAATGGTTGGACTACTTCACAACTCCACCAGCTGTGCATTAGCATCCTTTCTTTTCCATATCACCTCCAGCATTTGTCATTTTCCTTTTCTGTCACATTAGCCAATCTTCTGGGTGGGAGGTGGTACCTCAGAGTTGTTCTAATTTACATTTCACTAATTATTAGTGATTTAGAGCATTTTTTCATGACCATTGATAACGTTGATTTCTTCTTCTGAAAACTGCCTGTCCATATCCCTCGACCATTTATCAATTGGGAAATGGTTCTTATTTTTATAATTTTGTCTCAGTTCCCTATATTTTTGAGAAATGAGATCTTGATCAGAGAAACTCACTGTAAATCCCCCCCCTCCAGTTTCCTACTTTCCTTCTAACTTTGGCTGCATTTGGTTTTGTTTGTGTAGAAAGTTTCAAAATTTAATGTAATTAAAATTATTTATTTCACCTTCTATATTCTTCTTTGTTTTATCCACAGATCTGACAGATATTTTTTAAGGAAAGCCCTTTGTAAACCCTAAACAGCTCTATAGATAGGATTTATTTTGCTGTTATTTAACTGTCCGTCAGATTTAGAAGCTTGGTTCTGCATTGGTTGGGTATATACCTTAATAGCAGTTGCTCTGGGGCCCATCTAGAACCCACTTCCTATTCCTGTCACTGCTGTCCAGAGACAGCTTCAACCAAAGATACTGACCCTCCTGGGCTGCTGGCTTCTTACTTTGAAGAGCCCCAGCTGAACACTGGGGCTATTATCACATTCGGTATAATGTAGTTGCTTTGTTTCCAGCTACTTTCAAGGATGAGTGTGCCTTTAAGATGCCTAGGAGTGTGAGTGATCAGTTAATTACGTATTTGTATAGGCTAGGACCCAGCTGTGAGGAGGCATTTTAATGCAAGTGATTGTACATCTGACTGTGTTCCAGACTGTACTGGAATAAACTCAGTAATCAACATGAGGCCTTTTGTCAATGAAATGATATTCATTTTTGAACATTCTGATTTTTGAAATATTAGGATTTGCTTCAGTTTAGTTCAGTAAGCATTTATTAGCCACCTACTGTATGCAGTGGCTTCTACTAGGTACTAGAGATTCAAAGATGAAAAATGATGTAGTCTCCATCCTCAAAGCACTGACAGTTTGTTAGAGGAATGAATGAAAAGCATTTTACTGCATGGCAAGCATTGTGCCAAAAGTCAGGGATACAAATGCAAAAGGGGGAGTCTCTGTTTTCCAGGACATTGCATTCTAACTGGGGGAAGACAACACACACAGGAAGATCGACTGCATGTCAAGTGGAAAGGCAGGGCAGTCCTTAAGGGGCAGATAGGAAGGCCTGGGCATCTTTAGGGTGTATTAGCCGGTTAGATGGCAAAGCCTGTGGGCGTGGAGGGCAGACAGTAAACCTTGTTGGTCTTTAGGGGACGGTAGCCAGACAGCTGAAAAGAATGAAAAGAGAATGAAACACATGCAGATAATGGTAACTCGAGTTAGGATGTGATAAATGACGTAGCTGAGCTCAAACAGGGATGGACGACATCGGGTAGGAAAGAACCACTTCTAGTGGAGGTCGGGGGTGGAAGAGGGGATGTGAGATCCAGGAAGAGCGGTGCAGTCTTGAAGAGAACAAGCAGCTGGAGATAGGGAGAGAATCCATTTCATTGGTGAGAACCTGTTCAAGTATTTCCCTATACTTTGTCCTATTGAAAAAAGGGACTGCATCAGTTTTTCTCTTTCATCCTTCCTCCACTCAGCTGCCAGAGTGATTCTCCTGAAACGCATGTCTGACCATTTTATTCCCCTACTCAAGAAACTCCAATGGCTCCCTATTACCTTCAGGATCAAATAGCAGCTCCTCTGTTTGGCATTTAAAGCCCTTCACAACCTGGCCCCTTCTCCCCTTTCGGGTCCCATCCCCTGCGTGTGCCCTGAGCCTGCTTCACTGGCCCTTTTCTGTTCCTCACACACAACATTCCCTCCCCCACTCCAGCTTCCTGTGTGGTTGAAGTGCCCTTCCTCCTCACCTCAGACTCCTGACCTCTGCTCACATCTCACCTTCTGCAGAAGCCCTGCCTCGCTCTTGCCGTTAGGGCCTTCTCATGGAAAGAGAGAGAGGAAAATAGATGTGCGTGTCTATATAGTAAAAATGGAAAAGAAGCTCAACGGGATGTGTGTGTGTGTGTGTGTGTGTGTGTGTGTGTGTGTGTGTGTGCGCGCGTGTGTGCGTGCGTGTGCGTGCATGCATGCACATAGCGTGTCTGTACATGGTTATTGCGTGTTCTTGCCACTGTTAGAACTTGAGCTTCTTCAGGGCAGGGACTATGCTTGGGCCTTTCTTTGTATCCCCAGGGCACAGAGTAAGCTGCTGGTAAATGCTTGTAGAGTGACTGTTGGGGCCAGGCCTTCTTTTCATTGCTCAGCATTCTTTGCTTTATAGTTTTCCTGGAGAATTGGCCCATTTAATCTTTCATTTTAGGGGCTTCTGTTTCAGAGTTCCCAGAGTCATGCATGGAATATGCACACAATTTAGAGAATGACAAAATTATGGGGTATTTTGCCTTGTTTGTTGTATTTTTGGAATGTGTGTGTGTGTGTGTGTGTGTGTGTGTGTGTGTGTGTGTGTGTTTACCATTAGGTTAAAGAGGGATTGATTTTTGTTTGCCAATTTGAACACTTTTGTTTTAAAGTTATTTAGTTGTTATATATTACTCTTTTGCTCTTTTCAGACTTTGAGATTTTTCTTTTTCCTTTCTATATTTATTCAGTTAAGTTGAAAATCAGAATTTGGAGAAGGTAGTTACTAAGTAGAACACTCTGAACTCCCAGTTAATCTTCTCAAGGGCAGGGCCGTCCCTTGGCCAAAGTACCAAGTGAGTGCAGTCTTCCTTGTCTCTGCTCCCAAGATCTCACGAGATTCCCCTTGCCCAGTTGGTCGGTTCAGCCAGTCCTAGATACTGATGCCTGTCTCTGTGTATCCCCCCTCAGCAGGGCTCCTCAGAGCTTCCCAATCCACGTCAGGACCCCTCTGCACTCATCCCTGGGGCTGCTTGCCGTCCCTGGCATACAGAAGCTGCCTGATGCAGAGAAGCTCATTAGTGGCTCATCATTGCTTCCTGCCCTGTCCTCACTGACTCTCTGCTCCCTGCCAGCCAGGCTGACATGTACTTTCTCTCCTGTCTGAGCTCACCCAATCCTGTCCTCAGCCAGCCACTGCAACCAGCCCTTCCCTGTGACACCCGCCAACCCTCCTCCTGGGCATCCACTGTCTGACGCCTCATAAACAGAGTTTCTGCATGCTCCTCCATCGCCACACCCAAGGGCTGGTTGGTACTGTGTCTTGCTTAATGCTAATGTCAAGGCTGTGTCTCCATGACTCCTAAGTGATGTGCTGCTCTGAGCTGCCAAGGGTCCCTGTAGCCTTAGGTACCTGACTATTTCTCCTTTAGGAGAACATCTGTGGAGTTTTCCTTGTTCCGTAAATATGCTTACCTGTCCCGTTCCCTGTCCCTAGTACCTAGGTGACTAAAGCTAATTTGATAAACTGAGACATTCATGTCATAATAGATTAATGGGTTCAGTAGCATTTGCATTTGTAACAAGGATTTTTAATGTTCTACGTTAAGAGAATGATTAATTATGTGCATTTCAGGTACTTTGACAGGTTAATGGTGAGAAAGGTCAGGGGACAATATTGTAAGCTTCCTTCCCATCAGAACCTGGCCCCTTCCTACCTTTCCAGGCTTCTTACATTTTTCTCTCTTCCATGTACTGAGGAATCCAGCAACACTGACCTTTTTTGCTGCTCCTTGAATAAGACTTTCCAGGTATTTTCATTGTCTGAGCCCCATGGCTGGAAGGAATGTCTCCTTACTTCTGCCTCC